TGTAAGTTCCTGAATAAACCATTTATCAGAAGTGAAACTAACTTTAGAATTCAACGTCTTAGTTAATACACTCACACTGATAAAATTGAATTTAAATTCAGGAATGTAAAGCACATTATGTAGAGAGATAGCATCAGTTATTTGAATGAATCATATGTCCTCTATATGAACCGTATAGCCGTTAGGTAAGGTAACATAGGTTTGATCTAATGCTCTATATTCTACATAAAGGTATTTAGTATGGGAAACATGATGTGTAGCTCCTGAATCTAATACCTAAGCCCTAAGAGACACAGCCGGTTCCGTAGATATAAAAGAGACAAGAATGTCATAATAGGATTTTGATTATAGATCAAGAAACGTACTTGTGATCTGTGAGATCATTGGTACTGAATTTGAAGTCGAGGCACAAGTTTTATCCGGTACAGATTCAACCGATGAAACATGAAGCTTGGAACTCAGATAAGATATGATGTGCTGGATTTGATCCCTAGTCATCTCCTCGTTGGATCCCTCATTCATCTCTATCTGCAACTCTGGTTTTACCTGAGCAAGATTAGCAGTCCCAATAGCCTGAGGTTTCTTCCATTTGGAACCATAACCAGGAGGATAACCATGGAGTTTGTAGCATTTTTCAGCCGTGTGGCCAATCTTCTGACAGTGAGAACAACGAGGCTTTTGAGAACCTGTTTGAGCCAAGAGTATATGAGAATGCTCCACAGGTGTAGACATCTGAACTTGAAATGCAGACGGATTCGAGTGATTCTTTGAAGTAGTCCCAATATAACGTTGACTCTCGTCTTGATCAAGCATATTATAAATCTCTGTCAAGCTTGGTCTCGGTTTCATATTCAGTATCTGTCCTCGTGTGTTCGCAAAGTTCTCATTCAGTTCCATAAGGAACTGTGTGATTCTACTAGTCTCAGCTTCTTTAATCAATTCTTTTACATCATCACAGCTACATCTCTTCACCGTGGTTGTCTTAGTGTTAGCCAATTGTTCCACGGTGTCTTCTTCTTCGTATAATACGTAGATAGAACCAGATTCTCCTGCTTCAGTGTCATGGTCGATTGTTCAAGCTGATACTTCTGTGGAAGATTACTCACTCTAAATCTCAGGTAAAATCATTCAGAATCTCAACCACATCTTCATAATAGAGAATACTGTCATAGATCTCTTTGTTCACTACGTTCAATAACCAAGCCTTCACCATGCTGTTAAACCTACTCCAAATCTTAAACAGATTATCATCTATATCCGGTCTAGGCAGAGATCCATCTACAAAGCTAAGCATATTCTTTGCATCAAGATTCATACGCATAGCAATAAACCAGTTATTGTAATTTGTTCAGTCTAGAGTGTGAGTAACAACAGATAGACCTGGGTGATCGGCTGAATATAGGAAGAACGGATTGTGAACGTTTTCATATGATTCATTCTTCTTTGGAAACTCTTTAGAACGATTATGATTCGTCAAGCCATCGTGAGGAGTCATCGCAACGTCATTTGGAGCTATAGGAGTTGAGATCGGTGATTGATCTGGAGATATCGGTGTACGTCCACTCGTTTTTCGTCCTTGTTTTGCCATAAGAGAAGATCAGAGCTCAACATTGATTCTGAAAACGCAGCGAATTGTAGAAAAGGTGATTTGGATGTCGCCAGAATCAAATCGATCGTCAGAAACAGCTTCCGATCAAGAAATCAAAGAGAACATGAAAGATAATCAGAAAATCTGAGCAAAATCAAAGAAAGTTACGCGGAAAAACTCTGATACCATTTTAGTTCTTTGATGTGAAACTCAGAATCTCATTAATTGGGAAAGTTTGTTACAAACAAACTTTATACAAAATGCAACAGACACTTAACCAACAATAACCAACTGGGTTCACATCTTAAATTAAATGACAATAAAATGGACGATTCCAGAGCCCTTAACCGGTCTTAACTAAAAGCATGACCCAGTGGAAAGCATCACCAGCCTCAGTTCCACTTTTCTAAGTGACAGTGGAGGTCAGAGGATTGACGTGAAGGAAATTGAAGAGATGATCATGTTTCTCGGTTCACGGGAATGGTGTGATGCAGAGTCTTCATCAGAGTGAAAAGGCGAGATCTGTAGCTGGCTTGCAGTGAGAATCAGCTTCCCAGCGTCCGCGACGGTGTCTTCACTTTATCGATGGCGGAGCCCAAACCATCGGTTAATGACTATTCTGGTTTCGTTGTCTCTGCCAAGGTCTGACTTTTCTTTCAGTACGGACTGGTTCTATTTGAAGGCTAAGGAGTGAGGCATAGTCTCCGGTGAAGCTGTTTCGGTCAGGACTGCGTCGATATGTTGGTTCGAGTACTGAACTCTTATCTCTTAGTGACTAATGGTGTTTTAATTGGTTAACCTTGGTTTGGAATGAGTTTTTTTTTTTTGACAACGAACGGCTGATCTATTACTCAAGCTTGAGGTGGTCTGGAAATCCAGACCGGAATAGAACAACCAACATACACCAAATCTCGATAGAAGGATCGAGCAGTCTTAGCTAGGGAATCGGAAAATCCGTTATGTGTCCTAGGAATATAGAAAATCTTAAAATCTGGAAAGCAAATCCGCAGCGTCGTTAGCTTTTCCAGTTCCGTTGAGAAGGTAGGCCAATCCTGTGGACTCCTAAGCATTGCTATCATTTCCTTGCAGTCTGTCCCAAAGCTCTGACATGGCGAATATTGAAGCATGTTCTTCATTGCCCACCGCAGTGCTTCCAGCTCAGAGTGTAAAGCAGACTCCACTCTATCAAAGTTGCGCATCCCCATCAGCTGACTATTCCCCATATGATCATTCCAAACCCATCCACATCCACTAAACTGAGCTGTAGAGGTCCAAGAGCCATCTACCATACAAATATCCCCCATACTTATGGCCTGACTATCAGCATCCATGTTTCCTTGTGAGGGCAGGGAAATCTGTTCGTTTTCTCTGAATCAGGCTTGCATTCACTCTCTGCATATCTGGCTAATTCCAGCGGGTCTCTATCAATTCCCTTGAACAATTTGTCATTCCGAGCCTTCCAAATATACCATATAAGCTATCGATAAGGATCCATTTCCAAGTCCGGTCCTGCTATGGTGTTCTTCCTCCAAAAGAGATAGTCCATGTTCGCATATGTGCTCTGAAGTGGAAACAAAGTAGGGCTAGTAGGCGCAGATGACAAGGCCCAAACTTGTTTGGCAGGTGGACACAGGAAAATGGCATGTGTAATTGATTCTTCAGGTTCTCCACATCTTGGACAGTAATCGTCGCACTTTATGTGCCTATAATTTACAGTGCTCGTAACAGCCACGTGACCTATTATTAGTTTCCACATAAGATGGCACATCTTCTCGGGGGGCTGTACCTTCCAAACGTGTGCTTGTAGTTTAGTGATACTAGGTTCACTAACTACAGGCTCCACTTCCTGCTTTAGAATATTCCGTGCAACCCAATATCCTGATTTGACTATATATTGTCCATTCCTTGTATAGCTCCAGCAATATGTGTCCCTGCGATGTGTAGAACTAATTGACATACTCTTTATGAGAGGTATATCAGCAGCATCTATGTAGTTTTCCAGTCTCATCGCATCCCAAGTCTTTGTCTCTTGGTTAATAAGATCGCTTACTCTCATGTTTGGATGCAACACCGGTGCCGATGGGGTTGCCGGTCTCGCTGGGATAGTAGGAATCCAAGGATCCTCCCATACCTTCACCTCATAGCCTGAATGGATCTTATGTCTAACGCCTAGCAAAAGTAGTTCGCGTGCCGCCGATAAACTTGTCCACACATATGATGGGCTGCTAACAGTAAGCTGATGCAACGGCGAGCTTAATCGGTAATACCGACCCCTCAAAACACGACAACCAGGGAATCTGGGTATTGTACTAGCCTCCATAAGTGCTTTGCTAGCAAAGCCAGGTTAAATTCATGGATCATCCTGAAACCAATCCCGCCATCCTCTTTAGGTAAACATAATTTGTCCCATGTAGACCAATGTATGCCTCTTTTTGGGGGGTTTGAGCTCCACCAGAACTGTGCAATGGCACTAGCTAATGCATCACATATCTCCAATGGCAGAAGAAAACTGGACATTACATAAGCTGGCAACGCTAGTAAGATCGACTTGATCATGACCTTCTTTCCACCTTTTGATAACCATCTACCAGTCCATCCATTAACTCGATTCCTTAACTTATCTTTTAAGAATGCAAAGAGCTTGCATTTGGACCCACTGATATCCTTTGGGATTCCTAGATATGTTCCCAACCCCCCCCCCTTCATTCTGAATCCCAAGGGTATCTTTAATTTCTTGTCTGACATCTTGTCCAATCCTCTTACCGAAGAGTAAGGAAGATTTGTCAAAGTTAATGCATTGACCAGAGGCTTTTCCATATTTCCTGACCACTTTCCTTACTTCTTCACATTCACGGGGCTCCGCCTTGCAAAAGAACAGGCTATCATCAGCAAAGAGAAGGTGAGATACCAAAGGACACGCACGTGTGATGCGCATCCCCGTTATCTTCCCTTGATTCTCAGCGTGATTTAGAAGGCTAACGAGCGCTTATGTGCACTGAGTAAAAATGAAAGGGGACAAGGGATCCCCCTGTCTTAGGCCTCTCTCTGGAACGATATTTCCTCTTGGCTGGCAATTCATAAGAACCTTATACTTCACTGATGTTATACAGCGCATTATCTAGGTTATCCAAATTTCCGAAAAACCCATCTTCTTGGTGGCCTCAATGAAAGACCACTCCATTCTATCCAGGTTTGGAATGAGTTATCTTGGGCATATACTTCACTTTTGTGGTTGAATGCTAGGGATTTAAGAGACAGATATTTATCTGTAATAAAGTTTGTTTTCATTGGGTTTAATTACATCAAAGTATAAGATTTAGTAATATATGATCCACTCTAGTGATTTTTAATGATACTAAATTACTTTCTATGTAAATGTGGTTGAATCTCTTGTGGTTAAAATCATATAATCCTCCATTTGGTTAATAAAAACTACATGTGTTCTGATTGAGAAATCTTTTTATTTTATTTAATAAATAATGATCTTAAACGTTATATTAAAGTTTCTTAAAAGCTCTTAGGATTTTGACCCAAAAGAATAGCTCTCAGAATACAACAGTTGACTCATTATGGAGTGTACCATCCCTCGCACCTGAAGAAGACTCGACTCTTTTTGTTGCTTTCTTGGCCTACCCATTAAAATTTACAAATTATCAACTATTACTTATAGGTATGAATGAAAACGGTAAATGAACAACAAAGCTTTTTTTTCTTACCTCTTCATCCCAATTTGTAAACAAGGTGACAAGTGAAAGACAGATAACCTGAACAACGAGTGCGCATATGATTCCAAGCCAAAGCCCCTTCAAATCAAATATGATCATTATACCATATTGTTTATTGAGAATTCGGCCAAAAAAAGCACCAACTTTGCACGAATGGCCAAAAGAAACATGTACTCGAGCCTGGCCAAAAGAAATCTGAACTTTTGTTGACTTTATTAGTTTATTAAGAAACTTACGATTGACTCGCCATTTTAACACACCGTTAATGAACCGTTAAGACGGTGTTAACTCGGACGTTAATTGTTGCCGTTAGATTGAAATGACGTCGTTTTAAGCTATTTGAAAATAAAAAAACGTAGACCATGGATTCGAACCCGGGTTTATTGGATTAAGTGGCAAGGAAGTTTACCACTAGGTTAGTGGTGCATTCAATATACTGACTAACACATTAACTTATATTTGGTACTTATTGAATATTAAAAAAATTCTATAAAAACTTTAAAAATCTTTAAAATTTCAACACAAATGAAAAATAAAGAATTTTTTTCTAAGATTAATTTTGAAATTAAAATTAAAATAAAATTTTATTTTTCTTTAAAAAATCAGATAGGAACTTATAAAATTTTATTTTTCTTTTAATGTATTTATTAACACATTTACTTATATTTGGTACTGATTGAATATAAAAAAATCTATAAAAACTTTAAGAAATCTTTAAAATTTCAAAAAAAAATTAAAAAATATAGATGTTTTTTATAAAATTAAAATTAAAATAATTTTTTTTTTCTTTAAAAAATCAAAAAATATAAATGCTTTTTATAAAATTAATTTTAAAATTAACATAAATTTTTTTTCTTTAAACTAAAATTTTGGAATATTTTTGATTTTTTAAAGAAAATAAAAATTATTTTAATTTTAATTTTAAAATTAATTTTATAAAAAAACTCTTTATTTTTTCATTTTTCTGAAATTTTAAAGATTTTTAAAAGTTTTAGAGAATTTTTTTTTTATATTCAATCAGCACCAAATATAAGTAAATGTGTTAGTAGATACATTGAAAGAAAAATAAAATTTTAAGAATTCCCGTCTGATTTTTTTAAAGAAAAAAAAATTATTTTAATTTTAATTTCAAAATTAATTTTATAAAAAAAAACTCTTTATTTTTTTCATTTTTTGAAATTTTAAAGATTTTTTAAAATTTTTATAGAATTTTTTTTTATATTCAATAAGTACCAAATATAAGTTAATGTGTTAGTAGGTACATTGAATTCGCCACTAGCCCAGTGGTAAACTACCTTGCAATTTAAATCAACTAACCCGGGTTCGAGTCCAGTTGTTTCATCTCAATTGGAAACGACGTCGTTTCATCATAACGGCAACAATTAACAACGTTAATTTTTTCTGTTAAATTTGTTGACGGCGTGCCAAATTGGCAAGTCAACGAAAACATTGTTAATTAATTCAAAAGTCAATGAAAAGTTTATGTTTTTTTTGGTCATGCCAAAAGTTCAGGTTTCTTTTGGCAATTCGTGTAAAGTTCGTGTTTTTTTTGCCGAATTCTCATTGTTTATTTGATTATTACAGTTGAAATTAAATTATTTTGGAGAAAAGAAAAGAAACTTGAGTTGATTTAGTTAAATTTACCCGACCACCGACGTGAAAGTGAAAACCAAGTAACAAGCCTGAAGGTACTCCAACACAATAATATGATCCAAGATTTATGAATGCTCCTATCTTCTGCCATCCACATCCTCTAGCAACCCCTATTAAACCGGAAATCAACAAACATAATTAGTTATAAGTAACCATACTTAAACCAAGTGTCTTTACTTGTAAGCAAAGAAAGAAAAGAAACCTGAGAGAACACACTGAAGACTGTCTAGAAAATTGCCTAAGGCAAGAATCGGCATCAACGAGGCTACATAGGTGACTACTTCCGGTTCACTACTGTAAGCCAATCCCCATATATTCCTTATCAGTATCAAAACCAATCCGATCACTATACTTTCTGCGATTGCGATGCAAATGACCACATGCACCGCAAGCTTAGCCACTCTCGGATTCCCCGCCCCTAGCTCGTTTGACACCCTTGTGCTGCAAGGATTTTAAATAAATCCAGTATGGTTTATATGATGATTGTATATAAACGTTACAAGAGTTATGTATGTACCTTGCAGCTCCACTAAGACCAAACGGGATCATCCAAACTGTTCCAGCTGTATTAAGGCTGCATGTGTATTCTTACTAAATTCAGTTACATTCCCAAGTTTTAAAATATCTTGAATTAGCAAGATAAACACATATGCTTTGCTCTTACCAGATTGAGAGAACAGAAGTTTCAAGAACCGGGTTTGGAAGAAGACCTGACAAGAGAACCAGAAGCTCAAAGGACCACATCTCTAAGCTGCACTCAATAACATCAAGACTTGTGAGCCAAAAGCGGTCTCGACAGTCCGCTACTACCATTAAAAGGTTTATTATCTTTGATTATTTTGTACGTACCAGACCATGAGTGCAGAAGGAATAGCTAGTCTCATGAAAGGGAGAATGTTGTGTAGAGCCTCCTTAGAGAAACCGGTCCAAGTCAGTGAGCAAGAAGGCGATAACTTGACGTAACAGAACAAGAGTACGACATTAAGCCAATACGAGATAGTGTTAGCCACAGCAGCTCCTTTAAACCCTAAACCAGATTTCAAAACCAAGACCCAACATAGGAGGACATGAAGACAAGTGGTGACTCCAGAGCATAAGACCACAGGAAACACATTGTTTTGTGCCTGCAAAAACCTGTTAAAGCATTGAAGTAGACCATAGGCGAAGATGCTTGGGATCATGAATCTTGCGTACGAGCCAGCGAGTATAGCAATGGATTTGTCTTGTCCGACGAAGAGGAGAAGGTGTTCTGTGTTAAACCAAATGATGGAGAGAGGAACAGAGAGTAGCGTAAGAACAAACATTGCTCTTTGCATTTGTATCCCCAACATTCCATACATCTTTGCTCCGTATGATTGGCCACAAAGGGTATCTAACGCACTTGCTGTTCCCATCTGTTCATGAGGAAATGAAAAAATGGTGGATTTAGTGTAGTTTTCTTCTTCACAAGTAACGGTCAACGCAATTTCATAACTTTTGCGTGAATATTTAAATTTCGATCTGATGACATTATTTACTATTTCAATGTTTGACAGAAAGAAAAAACCTTAGTGTATGTACTCACTAAAAAAGGAAGAGAAAACAAATTATGCACTCATTTAAGAAGACTTTCCGTTCACTTTTGTGAGTTTTGTCCGTAAAATGACAATGCTTTTTGTTGTTATTAAAACTCACAAGGAGTGGTAGAAAAGATGCATACGCAGTTGAATATTCAAACAAGGTGGCTTGATATGTCTATACTATTAGAGCTGTGCAAGATATCTATACATTTTGATTCAATTCGTTATATCATTCAGATTTGAATGGAAAAATTTAGATCCATAACTTTACAATTAAATCAAATAGTAATATCTAATATCCGTAAATCACAAAATACTAATATTTTTAGTAATGTATATCTGATCCGTGATATATATATATATATATATATATATATATATATATATTTAAAGAATTATATATAAATATTATATTTTATGTAAGTTTTAAAATATTTTAATGTATTAAATTTATATATTAGTTAGTAGAACTTTAAAAATAAATATTTTAATAACTAAAGATCGGATAATTGATTATTCGGACAAAACTGATCAAATCACGAATAATTGTAAAATCCTGGATATTAGATTCATGTTCACTCTTATATACTAGAGAACTTTCTATTTATAAGGCTTTATGTATAAATCATTATTATTTCTACTTTTAGAGATACATTAATGGTCTAAAAGGTATAAGATAAAAGAGATTTCAAAGTTGCAGAAGAAAGGAACTAAAGTCACCCGTTAGCCAATCAGTTTAGAATTCGCTATTCCTATAATCAAATTTCAAGAAATTAAGATACATGCTTAAGTAGAGATCAATATGAGATACATGTATAGAGAGTGAAAGTGAGCAAAACTAACGAGGAAACTGAAGCCGGTGACGGAGGCAAACGAGGTGGCGATGGAGGCAGCAGAGAGAGGAAGAGAGCCAAGGTGGCCGACAAACATTACAGAGATGACTTGAAGACAAAACTGAAGAAGACTGACGCCGATTAGTGGACCCGATAGCCATAGCTGCTTCTTCACTTCTTCTTTTACACTGCTTTTCTTACCTTTCTCTCCGATTAGAGGCCATGATAATACATTATCTCTTGTTTCTCTCTCTTCCCTCATTTTCTCTAAGCAAAGAAAGAAAATATTACACACTAAAAGGCAAGTTTATATTTTATATAACACAATAGAACAGTTTGTAGTATCAAAACATTTTTTCCTAAACGTATCATATTTCGTTTAGTTTTTTCAAAGTAAAACAAAACTATAGACAAAGTAATAGGATCCACTATCATCTCTCTCTTATCTTCTTCATTCTCAACTTTATTTTTTAATTATTTTTCAACGATCGTTGTGTCTCAACTTTGTTTTTCAATTATATTTCAACGATCACCGTGAGATCTCGTCGTTAGACAACGTGATACGCAGGAGTCAGATAGCGTCATCAAGAATATGGCACTCAATTCTGGTACTCAGCCATGGCGATTTGGAACAAAAATGTTCAACAAATAAATAAATAACAGTTTTGATCAAATTTTTGAATGTAAAACTATGTATTAAGATTGAAATCTATTAGATCTGGACAAAATACATAAAAATAAGTGAAAGTGTAAAGAATCATGAAAAACAAGTGAAAGAGGCGGAGATTAGGTTTTCTGGTCGACAGTGACCAAGAAGACAAAGCTATTTTCGTAACTTTATTAATAAAAAAATAAATAAAAATTTTTGTGTACATTATCAAATTTAACGTATACATGTACACCTCATTATTACACATTTACGCTATTATATCTTATCGTACACACACAATGTTAAGATTACAATGATAATGTTGATGGTGGTGTTGGTAAATTGAGTATCTGATATGTTAAATATACTATCAAGCCTGCTAATCTCATTTTGTTGTCGTGTGCATCTTCTAGACTTATATAATGCAAATTTAATTGAATTTGTGTTTTGTTTATCAACTTGTTGTTCTTCACTTTGGAAAACAGGCGAGATAAATGGAGATTAGGGCTTCTGGACTCATATGATGCTCTATTCTTAGGTTGTTCCGTTTAATACTTTGTTTTTAGGTTGTTCTATTCGCAAAAGTTGATGTATTTTGACACTAAAACTTATTAAGGCTGTTCAATTTGATATGCTTGAGTTTATGGGTTTAGAATTATTAGTGAGATATGATTCAAGTATATATGTACACCATAGTGATAAGGGTTTTTAAGCCTTAGAGCAAATCAAAGTAGTAATTAAGATTGTCGAACCACAGGGAACTAGTGATCTAAGCACTAAGAGTACACAAACTTTCCTAATCTAAGCAAATAGAGAGTTCGATTTGTAACAAGCTAAGGTTCCTAGAAATATAAACAAGGTGATCTCAAATACAATCTAGAACAATCACAAGAACTACTTTAAATCAAATGATAAGGTAGAATCCATGGGATTAAGGCAATTGATCTAAAGCAATTAAAGTTTCAATCAAAATGTTCCTTAAGTCTAAACAACAATGCTAAGCAAGTCCTAGGTCTAGGCAAATGCTCATTTGCTTTCATTAATCAAACACAAATGGTCATTGGCTTAATTAATTCAAGCAATCATTAAGATAAAGTTTAATAACTATCTAAAACCCCTAGATACAAATGGTCATTGGCTAGGTAGTCTTAAAGCTAAGGAGAGTTGGTTCAGTCATTTAAACATACACCTTGTGGGCAGAAAATGACTAAGGTTCAATCCTAGAGTGATCAAGTCTAGAATAGCATTAAACACACTCAACTAGCAAGGAAACATTTAGATCTACACTTAATCACCTTAAATCTACCTAACCCATGAATTCTAAAAGTGTCTACTCTTTAATCTCCATGAGAAACCTTAAATCCATGATGGATTCAAGGTTAATCATGTTAATGAGAATAAGAAACAAGATATAAGATGAAATACTTCCTTAAAATGATAAAAAGGTTCAAGCTTTTACACTTAGAAACAAGTTCTTGAGAGAAAATGAGATACATTAGGGTTTTTGGGATCTAAAACTATATATAAGAGGTCCAAATTCGTCTTGGTTGAATTGAATTAAACCGGATCAAACCGGCTTAAACCGGGTCAAACCGGTTTAAACCGGTCAACATCTTGACTTTGTAAAATATCTGAACCACCGCGGCCTATCTTCCCCGCGTCGTGTACCCGCTCCCGAGATCGCTTCGATCCCAGCGATGTCATAACGTCGCTGCAATCACCCGCTCCAGCTCACGCCCATGTATTGGGGAAGGTTCTAGAAGAATAAAGCTGAGGATTATCTAGTCATAAGATAATAACGAGAATATGCTTATTCCCTGTTTTGTAGGAACCTTTAGCCGACATCTTTAGATTGTCTCTTGTATAAATAGGTTTGCAATTCATTAATGAAAGACAAGTTGTTCTTGGTATCCAATTCTACATGGTATCAGAGCTATTCTACAAAAACTAAAAACAAAATTTTCTTTTTCGTCTCAGGGTTTTTTTAAACCGAGACAAGAACAGAGCACACGTGTTGTGCAAGAAATTGAGTAGCGATGGAGCTAGCTACCACAAATCAAGGAGTTGTCATATCTCCCTACACTTTGGCACACTCCGATAACCCAGGAGCACTCATCACCTCCGTGTTACTTAATGGTGTTAACTACACGGAATGGTCTACAGAGATGCTCAACGCCTTAAGGGCTAAACGCAAGTCAGGTTTCATCTTGGGAACTATCAAAAAGCCCGAACCTGATCATGCTGATTATGAAAATTGGATGACAGTGAACTCTATGATTATCGGTTGGATTCGAGTTTCGATCGAACCAAAAGTCCGTTCGACGGTAACTTTTATTGTCGAAGCTTCTCAACTCTGGAGCAATCTCAAACAACGATTTTCAGTCCACAACAAAATTCGCCTGCATCAACTTAAAGGACAGATAGCTATGTGCAAACAAGATGGCAAGTCTGTTCTGGATTACTTCGGCAAGTTGAGTTCTCTCTGGGAAGAATACGCTATTCACAGACCACTGCCTGCTTGTACCTGTGGAGTTGCAGACATTATGTCGAAGGAAAGAGAAGAAGATAAAATTCATGATTTCTTGCTGGGACTTGACGATGAACGTTTTGGAAGCTTGTGCACTACCGTTATCGGTCTGGATCCACTTCCGTCTCTAGAGGAAGTATACTCCAGAGCAATACGTGAGGAACAGAGGTTGAGTTCTTCTCGTTCTCGTGAAACTCAACAAGATGCTTTGGGTCTTGCCGTTCGAAGCACGTCACAACAAGAAAGTTCAACAACAAGTTCTGCAACATCTACTAAAAGCGACAATCAACCAGACACTATTCTGCGGCCTCGTGATAGATCAATGATCTGTTCTCACTGTGGTCGCACAGGCCATGAGAAACGAGACTGCTGGCAGATTGTTGGTTATCCAGAATGGTGGACAGAACGCAACAAGCAAAGTACTCGCGGCAGAGGAGCAGGTCGTGGAGGAGGTCGTGGCAGATCTTCCAATACAACTACAACTGCAACGAGTGCCAATGCATTAGCTTTTCCGGAATTTACACAAGACCAGTGGCGTGTTCTTTCCCAACTGCTCCAAGAGAAATCAAACCAAAGTGACAAACTTTCTGGTAAGAAAAAGTATGGCGATGTTATACTCGATACAGGAGCATCCCATCACATGACCGGTGATAAATCATTGCTGATCAATGTTGTGTCCATACCGCCTTGCTCAATAGGTTTTGCTGATGGTAGCAAAACCTTTGCGGTTTGTATGGGCGAATTTCCATTGTCTCAGAACGTCACTCTCAAAAATATGTTACTTGTGCCTTCTTTAAACTGCACTCTCATCTCAGTCTCAAAGATCTTGAAGCAAACGAGTTGTTTGGCGATTTTTACTAATACGGTTTGCGTTTTATAGGACCGTTTCTCGAGGACTTTGATTGGAAGAGGTGAAGAGCGTGATGGGGTCTATTATCTGACAGAAGTTGCCACAGCCAAAGTTCACAGTGTTCAAGCTTCTGCAGATCAAGATCTCTGGCATCGACGTTTAGGTCATCCTAGTTTTACTGTTCTTTCGGCTTTACCCATGATTTCTGGTTCTGGTTCTGTTAGTTCTCGTCAGTGTGACATTTGTTTTCAAGCTAAACAGACAAGAGAGGTGTTCTTTGATAGCAATAATAAATCTAATGAAATTTTTTCTCTTATCCATTGCGATGTATGGGGACCTTATCGCGTTCCTTCCACATGTGGAGCTGTGTACTTTCTTACTGTTGTTGATGACTTCTCCAGAGCAGTCTGGACTTTCTTAATGCTTGAAAAATCAGAGGTCCGATCCATATTAAAGGACTTTATCTCCTATGCTTCAAAACAGTTCGGAAAAGAAGTCAAAACAGTACGCTCCGACAACGGAACAGAGTTTGTATGTCTCTCTACTTATTTTCGAGATCTTGGCATCATTCATCAGACTTCCTGTGTTGCGACGCCACAACAAAACGGCCGGGTCGAAAGGAAACACAGACACATCTTAAACGTTGCTCGGGCACTACTGTTCCAAGCTTCTCGACCTGTTAAATTTTGGGGTGAAGCAATCCTTACTGCGGCATACTTAATAAATAGAACACCATCAAAGTTACATGCCGGCCTTTCTCCTTACGAGATGCTTCACGGACAAAGACCAAACTACGAGCAACTCAAAGTATTCGGCTCCGCTTGCTACGTCCACAAGACTTCTCGATCACGTGACAAGTTTGATTCCCGGAGTCGTCTTTGTGCTTTTATCGGTTATTCACATGGAAAGAAAGGTTGGAAAGTATATGATTTAGAGGAAGACAAGATTCTTTTTTCTCGTGATGTAGTGTTTCGAGAGGACTTGTTTCCTTTTGCAAAGAAAACTGAAACGTTATCGCATGTACCTCCTATATCTATGTCGTCATGTGATGACGATTGGGTTATTGAAGACAGGGGGAGTTCTGATAAAGACAGGGGGAGTACTGATAAAGACAGGGGGAGTACATCTGCTTTACCAGCATCGCCACCTACGTCTACTGATAATAATACTTCCGATATCTCTCAACAACCGGTACTTGCTTCGACTGTAGAACCAGAGTCCTCCGCTCACGAACCAGAATCAGAGACAGTTAACATC